TTGTTTTATAGAGAAAATTCCTTTTTTGAACACTAGCACCCAGAAGTGCTATTATTAAGCCCAGCAGCATCTAGGTCCTGGCTGACAGAAGAAGACAAAGTGTGAACTGCTCTGACTGCGCCTATACTTCACTCTGCTACTGTGACATTCGCAAGGATTTGTGGTTAGGAAACTCATCACCAGGCCTAACTTTTGAAGAAAGGCAGTTTCACAATTCCCAGCATAAAAATTTGTGAGGCGTGCACGCTGGGCGTTTTGTAGGGAACTGGAGATGAATCAGCAGTGTCTGAATCGGCCTAGGGATGAATCGGCTGGCTGGAGCGTGCTCCCCTCCTGCCTCAGCAGTGCGCTGGCTCCAAGGAGCCATGCCAGGAGTTGCAGAGCACGCCTGGGGCGCATGGGAGCACCATGGTGGAAAAAGTGGCTTTTGTCCTGGGCTGGGTGAGACACCAGGTGACACAGACTGGCTTCTTCTCTCACCAGACCAGGCAGAACTGTCACAAGAACTGGTGATAGACGTACTTGGCTGTAACATCTAAATCTCACCTCTGAAATGCCCTTTCTCCTTTGTTTAAAACAGCTGAGGCTGGAGTAATTGCTTTCCAGTAGTCCCACCCTGAGCAGGTGTGGCTTCAGCCACTTGGTGGCCAATTCAGAGCAATGTGATACAAACATATTGTAAAGCATGGTAGGGATGAGTTAATTACTGCTGTTACTCTGCTGTTGTATTGGATGACTCAAGGTCTTCTACATGTAATAAATTTACCTGCTGAGATAACGAAGTGGAATTTGATCTGCTGGACCTAAGTAGAGTTGGCAGAGGACTTTTCCTTGTGTGGGTCCTGTTAGGAGGTGACAAGTACGGAAGGAAATAAGAGAATTGTGGGAAACGAGTTTGCCAGGTCTTCTTCCACCCACCTAAGTATGCTGGTCAAAGACGACTTACTTATTTTAACGTAAAGCATGGCTAGACAAAGCCGCATGGCAAAAGTTAAGTGCCATTGTATACTGAGAGCAATATATGGCAAAGTTGGGGGGGGGAAAACTGTATACCATTGTGTCAGCTTCTCTTTGCATGTTGGTTAAGTATAATTAGGAAAATTAAAATACACAGGTGCCTCAAATCTGTGTGTGCTACTTAATGATACTCACTGAGAGCAGCTGACCCAGTGAATCATAGTGGGCTGAGGCTTTCTTGTTCATAATAAACTCAGTGAGGTATTCCTTTTCCTGACAGCAGTCATGTGGGATTTACTGTCTCTGCAGTCTGTGTGACAGCAATGTGGTTTTCTGTAGGCGCTGGTGTCTAGCTAGCGAGGAGTTTTTGTTTGCTTGGTTGAAGTAATGTGCCTTGATGTGTGTGCAGCTGGAGCGTTTCGAGCTTTTGTTTGGGAGTGGGAGAGTATCTCCAGATTCATTCATGAAGATCTTGGGCTTAGATTTCCTTCAGTCATATTTCCTTTCCTGTGACTGATGTCTTCCACTGCTCACTGTCTTGTGGTCTTGATGATCAAGGATGGTGGACTGGAGTGAAAATGATGATTGAAGTAAACAGCGTTTCTGTCTATTGTGTATAGCATTTTTCTTGAATGGATTTGGGTCTGTTCTTTAATGTTTTAATCCTAGTAGTCCTTTTTTGTATTCAGGTCATAGTTTTGCATATATGCTGTTAAAATTAATTGAAGCACAGGCTTTGGTTGTTTAGAAAACAAGTTACAGCTACATTTGTTGGCAGTATGCTACAGAAGGAGGTTATCTCAGTTTTTGCATAAACAGGGCTCTACGTTTTCTGTGTGCTGAATTAAACTTTGCCAAAATTGCCTGGCCTCTAGTGCTGATGCAAGAAGGCGGAAATTCCAGTGGTATGTTCAAGTAGGGAATCATGTCTAACTCAATGAGGGAATGATAACTCCCCTGGTGATGCCTGGTCATCTGCAGCTTTGTAGCAGAAGATTGGCATTACTCTGAACATCAGCGGATTCCCTGTCCCCTTAACCACCAGCCTGGTGGAGCTGCTACCTCTAGCTCATCACCAGCACATACAGTCGCCCCTTTCTCTCCCGTTCTCCTGTTGTTCCCATCAGTTCCAGCACCCTCAAACCCACTCTTGTAAATGCGTTTGGCTCTATCAAGAACCTTTTTAGCGTTTGGCGCTGTAGTCTCCAATACACATTACAGACCTGACTCCAAGGCGTCACCAGACCAAGTCCAGCAGAAATTACCTTGCTTAGGTGCTATGTTTGGGTTTTGCTCGTCATGCCTGGTTCCATGGCAGTCCACAGGCCTAGAGTGATCTTATGGAGTTGTGTCATTTCTAACCTAGGCAAATTTCTATCACTTTGCTAGGAAAATGTGACTTCTTGGGAGAACAGAAATGTATATGAAAAAAGGAGAAAGTTACTTCTTGCTGTCTGTTTGTACTTACTAATTTGTTTACTGAGTTTTTTCTCTCTTGTCTCTTTTTAAAAACAAAACAAAAAAAACCAAAACCCAGGTTGTTTTCCAGCCATCAGCCTTGTGAACTTACCCTATGCAGTTTAAAGCAATAGGTTCTCTTTGTCATCTACGGTTATTAAAAGTCATTTTTGCGAAATTAAATCTCTTGATTTAACAGAAGTTAATGTGAAGTTTTGGGTTTGTTTATTTGGGCTTTTTGAAACAAAGGTTGAGGGTTAAACATAGGAAAGGTGGTGAGTGTTTTCCTCTTTTCTGGTTAGTGTTTTCTCTTGATAATAATGGATGTTTTGTATGACTTCGGTAGTCATGATGCTCATCAGCTCCAACAGGGTAGATAAGAGGTACCTGCTTGAACCGTCAGCATTAGAATAATGATAAATATCGAAACAGGTGTCCATTATTGGAAGTTCAGTATCAGTAGTGTTAGCAGACTGGGGAGGTGTGAACTCCACAACATGCTCGTCTCTTGGAGAGATGAGTCTTGGCTGATACATATGTGAAGGGGCTTGTCTGCAGCTACACAGACTAGCAACGTTCCAAGTTAAAGCATGGGTTCTTGAAATCAGTCATGTAGGTGGCAAATGCTCTGTCAGACCTGTATGGCCAGAGGACTGCAGACTGTCCCTTCAGTATCCACTGCTAAGGTTGTCTCAGCCCCCTCCCACAATGTTATTTGAAGTCAACATTTAGAGTGCCCGTATTTCCAGACTCTGACTGTGGGTCATTGCCTTTGATACTTATTTTAAGCATGAAAACAGCAATAACATTTACTTCGATTTCAGAGAAAAAGTTACTACTTAGATTTTTTTTTTTTTTTTTTTTCCTTCTGTGCCTGCTTTGTTTTATAACTAACTATTTGCACCCGAATAGAACGCTACAAAGCTGTAAGGGCCTCGGGGTAAGTGAAGTGAGAAGTTTAGATGAAGCTGTATCTGTCACTATTACGGCAGTTTGGGAGAGGGGGAAGATGAAAAATAGAAGGGCAAGAAAGCTTAATTTCTCTAGTAAGAATGGAGACTTGGATTCTGAAAACATTTAGTAATCTGTTATTTTGTAATAGACTGGGTGGGGTCTGGCATCTATGCAAGATGCTACACAATCTTAGAGTTGTGCTTAAGGAGCTAATAGGAGAGTTGTATTTGGCTGGTGTTCCTTTTTGCCTCAGTTTCCTGGTCTGTGACATAAAGGTATGTTCTCTGTGTTACGCAGGAAATCAGTATCTGGGCCCAGATCAGAATTCGAGGCTTCTGGCTTCCAGTTCTCCATTCAGACCACACCTTTCTTTTTATAGCTATGGGAAAAAAGTGTGCTCCAGCATGTCATTTAGTAAAATACCATATAGGAAAAGCAGAACTAAGCCCCAAAGAGCTAAAACTAGCTCGTTTTAAATTAGGAGACAGAAAAAATTCTGCAGATTCTTCCTGGCAGATGGAAACTTACAGTTCCACACCAGATGTGCTCATCTCTGGGGTCATTTCTGGCAAACTGAAGTGCCTGCAAAGGTGTGTGCTGAGTGGTGTCCAAAAGACTGTGATACAGGACTGGCCACTGAAGCTGGGGAAATCCTTTCTTAGGATAAGCTCTGCTGGGATGTGCTTGTGAGGACAGATTGGGACACTGTGACTTGATGTTTCGTCCATACAGTGAAGGTATATTCCTGTGTTCAGATGTACCCTGAAAGCTGCAAGCTTCTTCAAAGCTTCTCCCTTTCTAAGTGAAGTCTTAAATCATTAAAGCTGAGAGCTGAAACTCTTTCCTACTATATATGGCATTTGTGCAAGTGGTGGAAACCGGAGTGTATTTATAACGCTAGTTTGCTGCAGGAATACGGATTGGGAACAAATGTTTGTTTGGATAAAATCCAACTCCAGGGATTGGTTTTACTGCTGCGTGTAAAATCTGTAGCAAGCTTGTAAAAGCAGCAGTTGAAAAATCTAATGGGACCTTCCCCATGGAAAAAACATGAATTTGGTGTAACATTATATAGCCAGAGAGTTACTTGTGATGGTTCACATAGTAGTCAGTGACCCTGCACGTAACATGCTGTCTGTCACGTTGGAATGCAGGGATGCTCTTATGTTGCTGACACACGCGGGGATTGTTGGTGTTACTTGTTAATATGCGCTGCTATTTTCATATATATTCTTCACTTGTTTAGAAATACCCATTTGTGCCCTAAGTAATGTTTCATGAAAATTGCAACTATATTCTTAACAATATTGCATAGCATTGACATGAGCAAATCAAGCCATAAAATGAGCTGAGCTGTTTTACATACTGCTGATAAATATTTGAATGAAAACAGTTGGCAAAAAAAGGACACAAGTGTCTTTGGGTGTGTTGATTTAACCATCTCCATTCGGTCCAAGTGTTCTGTTTGATCTGCCTAATGTGTTAGTCCTTTCTATTGCTGTACAGCAAATTGCTGTGTGTTGAGCCTCTGTGGAATAATTACCATTTGGACTAAGAATGCTCATATCCAAAGCAATAAAGGTATTGTCTTTTTATTTTGTTTTCTAAAACTGCTGTCTCTGTTGTTGAAGGATGTTCAGAAGGAGAGAGAACCTCATGTTTATCTCAGTAAAGAAGAAGTTAAAGAGAAGATACAAAGCTATAATTCATCTGTCACTGATAAATTAAAGATGACCTTGGTAAGTTTTGCATAGGATTCCTGTAATTTTTAACAGGAGCAATTGAACGGTAACTTTGTAGTGCATTGTGAATCATTCAGTCTCAGCATCTTACATATGAAACTATCTCTGTTTTAATGACTTTGTAAAAGGCTCTTTCTTAGATCTGGAAATTAAATCTAACATCTGAAATGTTTTTATCCACATAGCTCTCTTTATGTGGATTGAAACAAACTGTAGTACAAAAAAACATGTAGTTTGAAATGCGTTTAAGATAAACTCTCAGTTGACATTAAGATGTACATTTGTCAGATGAAAACCATCAGCCAGCAAACATGAAGATATATTTATCCCGTTTGTGTAGATAAATTTTGCCCGGTATCTCTCTGATAAAGATGCTCAACCAATGAGAAAAGTTAATACATGCAAAATTTATTATGGGAGACTTAATTTGTAGTCCTCAGGCTTTCAGTATGAGGACACTTCCTTCCTCCCACCCCCATAAGACAGACAATACAGCCAATGGAATGCATATAGATTTTTCATTTCCAAGGATTGTGGACCAGGTCTAAGACTCAGTTTAGCCTACTGCAGACCATACTAATAAAATTCGCATCCATCTACCTAGCAAGCTGTTACTCAGTTGTTGTATTGTCCACAATTTTCTGATACATTATGTATTCCTGTGGGTGTACAGTGTATGAAAACTTTGAAATTCCATTATATCCTAAGTACGTATAAGTATGACTATGTACTAAAAAGATTTTTGTTACGTGTTTGCATGCGGGTCGGGACTTACTATGCCTAAAACCAGATTGCCTAAAGTTTTCTAGCTCAGTAAGGTTTGATCAGTTTTACTATTTTGTCTTTCAGAAGCAACTGGAGTAAATAATTTGAAACGTTGATAAGATTGGCATTTATTCTGGTTCTTTTTGAATTGCAGCAGGATTTGAGCATCTAAATGCCGTAGGCTAATTTGACAAGCACAGCTAATATGTGGGAGATAATTTCTGTATTTGTGCCTAAAATCTGTTGTTAAAGATGCGTGTTAGTGGTCTGTTTCACTTCATAGTTCTTTCTTAATGTGAAAACATATCACTAGTTTGTAGTATCTTTTGCTTGATGAGATCCTAATACTCTCAGAATTCAGTAGTTATAATTAAGGAAAAACTAATATTCAGCAGAAATACCAGAAAGAATAAATGTCTGAATTATTGAAACAATATCCTTCCTATGAGATGTCACGTGTTACAGTGGCACTTAAATTGTGTTCTGCCTAATCCACTAATATGTCACAACTGGTTGTTACTAATTTTAACAGTTCGATACTTTCCTCCTGATGCAGAATGCGAATGGGATTTACACTGGCTTCATCAAAGTTCAGATGGAACTATGCAGACCGATCACTGTGCAGTCTTCCCAGAGCCAGGGGAGGTGTGCTCACAGCAATAATGAAACTGCTTTTTACTTGCCGGATGGCTGTGTGAATACCCTTCACATCAGCAGCACCAACACTGTTCGTGAAGTTATTGAGGCCTTGCTCAAAAAGTTTTTTGTGGCTGACAATCCTGCGAAGTTTGCACTTTATAAACGCTGTCACAAAGAAGACCAAGGTATAAGTTAGGCTTGTGGCATTTTGGTAGTTACGGGGGTTTGGGGAGGGAGTTGTGCTATAGGAATACTTGAAATAAGCAGGGTGGAAGATAAATGGAGGTGACAATCTTGCTCTCTCTCGTCTTTTTTTTCTTTGTGAAAAGTAGCATGTGTAAGAGAGTAAATGATTTGGGGATATTTCAGGGTAATTCACAAAAGACACGAGAACCCACTAAACCGTCTACACATATCTCCTGTGCCTTGCAGTCCATTATGTTTTATTTAAGATGACCCTTATCAGGCTCTAAATTTCAGATAGCCTGATATACTGCAGATTTGTCAGATTAAATTACAGGACAGACTTTTAAAAAGAGAAACCATGGTGTCTATGATACCTGAAGTCCTTGCATTGGCAGAGAGTGTTGAGATGACGAGCATCATGGGTGCATGCACTGTGTTCATGTGTGTTAGTGCATACAGCTCTCCCAGGGCACTGACTGCTGTTAGAAGTATATTGTGTTTGGAAGTATCAGAAGAGGCAGAAGGTATTTTTGGTGAAAAGTGCGTTTTGCCAACATTGTGTTCTTGCACTTAGAATCTGCCTTCTTCCATGGACATTGAGAGCTGTTTCAGGAGCTCAGATGTTTCTGGCTGTCAGTCACACCAACCGTGTCAGGCAGGCAGATTTGTCTCTTAGACTTTGTGTATGAGATTTTATGTGGAAAAGGTATCAGAATGGTGATACCACAGCTCTGATGTCTTAAATGCTTAGTTATAGCAGCAGACCTGTGTTGTATTTTTTTTTCTTGTGTTTTTTTCCCCTGCATGTATTCAGATGGTGTACTGTGGTGACTACAGGCTATTTCATTCCTATGTGAATGTAGTGTTGCACTGTTACCATCAGTCCTCTGCTCAGCTTCTCCCCAAAACTCATTTGCTCAAAACCAGTATGTAGACTAATATGTAGACAATATGTAGAATGTGTAAATTTTGTGGCCACACATGTATATCCCTGAAATTTGCTAACATTAGCTAGCATTAATCATTCAAAGCACTTGAAACATCATTAGTAAAGATGATAATTACTGTGATTTCTTCTCCTGCAGTTTATACATGCAAGCTGTCAGACCGAGAACATCCCCTCTACCTGCGTTTGGTGGCAGGCCCCAGAACAGAAATGCTCAGTTTTGTTCTACGTGAACATGAAACTGGAGAAGTTATGGTATGTTACACTCATGCTGGTTTTGTGTGTTTGTTTAACTTCATGGATGAGTAGCCTTCTGTTTGATCTGTGCTGACAAGACGATCCATTTTTTGGAAGAAGTTTTTTTTTTTTTTTTTTTCCTTGTTGTGCTTACTTTGTGCCTTTTGTAAACATTTCATTTGTGGTTAGACTGACCCGTTGTTACTTGCAGAACAAAAAAAGAGTAAAATGTTTTCAGATCCCTAAGATTTGCAGGAAGGGTGCCTGGTACTGTTTCAGTTTGAAATTGTTTTGAGTGTCTGAGGTTTTGTTTAAAAATACTGTATATATAAGTTATTGTCTATTTCCTGTTCATCTGATCCATCCTTTTCTCTTTTTCTCTTTCCAGTGGGAAGCTTTTAGTATTCCTGAACTGCAAAACTTCTTGCGTATACTGGACAAAGAAGAAAATGAGCAACTGCAAATCTTAAAGAAGCGTTACGCAGCTTACAGAGACAAACTTGAAGAAGCCCTTGGTGGGGTGTGGAAACCTGGTTAAAAGGGGGCCAAAGGACACTCAGGAAAAATGCACGCTACCAAATGTCAGTATAGCATGCCAAACCCAACGTACAAAGAGCAGCAGAGAGTAGCTTTCTTTATTCAGAAGACTGTTTTGTGATGCCAGGGTACCTGAATTTTGCTATAGACTTAGTTCCATAAGCCAGGTCACTTAGCATCTTGCACCCACAAGTAAGGGATTCTGCATGTTTGTACATCAGTTTGCAACCCTCTGTGTGCCTAGAGAGTTTTCCAAGTTATCTTGGTGCAAGACCCTCTGTGAGAGAGTTTTCCAAGTTATCTTGGTGCAAGCTGTGAAACTGTAATCAATTTTCTAGGATGCTATGAAATAAAGATTTTATTTTTTTTCTTCTTTGCTTTAATGGTAGCTTTACAAGTAAGGATGTGCAAATTGATGGGTTAAAAAATGAATAAAACCGTCTGGATAAGAATTAGTTGGAGCACTATCTTTGAGATGAAATTGATTTGCACTACCTTTCTGTTCAAATAGTTACTGTATAATTTGTGAGAGAACTGTTATAGATGGAAAGCATATGAGATCTTGTGGTTTGTTCTGTGAAATTTGTGGAAGGCTTTATAGTGGTCTTTCTGGAGAAGGTAAAGAGAAAGTTGAAAAGAAGGTGAGAGTTGAGGGAGGAGAACTCTTAACAGCTGACAGAGGAGGACTGGTTTCGAATGGAAATAGTATTTATACAGAGGAAAGTTAAAATACTAATTCTACAAGATTAAAGTTTTAGGACGTTGTTATATTGTGAATAAGTTTTAATGTTTTTTTAACTGCATAAATCCACACTGGAAGAGAAATAAAGATAATAGAAATAATGGGAAGGAATGGGAGGCAAAAGCTAAACAAGAATGGAAATGGAGCTGCACATACAAGTCATTATTGGAGAAGCTTGTTCCATAAATGTGTAATGGGCGTTTGAAAAGTGCAGCAAAGCTAAAAGGTGGCTGCTTACTTGAATTCTGGAAGTGGACAATGTCTCAGATAACTCTGTGAGAAATACCCATCTAGCGAGTGTTTAGACATAAGCTATAACTACAGATGCATTTGGTCTTTATTGTAAGTCAGATCTTTCCTCTGGCTCAGCGATCCATTTTTAGGCTGGATAATTTTGAATTATCATATCTGAAAGACAAAAATAGCTTCGTCTGCTTCTTTGTTTGTTAAAGGCTCAGTCAGGCAAAGAAAGTAGAATTTCTTATTCATGTTTCCAGCTTAGTAGAAAATTAACATTTATTGGCTGTGTTGGTGACTGAGCTTAGTAACTCTTGCTTTTAGTAATTCAGAAGTTTTTTTCCTTATGGTTTTTAAATTCTTAATTGAAAAACTGATTACCAAATTCTGTGGACTGCTGATTTACTTGATTTAAAAGTAGGAAAAATGTAGCAAGAGAACTTTTTACTTTACTGTAAATATAATTGTTGTTCTTTCAGAGTTATTTATCTAAAAAAGCACGTTCAAAAGAAACCAAAGAAGTGGGTGTGCAATAGAAGCATGAGGCAGATTTGAGTAACTGATACTTCAGTCATTATCATGCCAGAGAGGAAGTGAGTTATATATTGGGGGCGGGGGAGGGGGGCGGGCTGTGAGGGGAGGGTGGAGGAGTGCTAACGATTTAAGAGCAGCAGAAGTTGGTGGGGTTTTTTCCCCTCCACTCTTAGGGTGTTCGTTTTAAATTCCCAAGGAATTGTTAAAACTTTGGTGACATCTAATGGATACTGTGTGAAACTCCAAGATGCTTCTGTTCTTCCGCTTAATTTGATGTAATTGTGCCTTTGTTTCCTTTCCTTAGTAGGACTTTTTTTTTTTTAAACTCTTCACAGGTTTTTTTTTTGTAAAAAAAAAAAAAAAAATTTGCAGACTTAATGAGACAATCGTAATGTTTTAAAGTGTTAAGAGAAATTAAGAGTAGGACTAACTATAAAGTATATATAAGGCATATCTTGTTTGTTTTTTAATTTCACATGTAACATTGTAGTGCATGTGTGAGTTAGTAACATTATCCTCAAGTGAGACACTTTATAATGGTTCAGGGAATGCTTTTATGTTTTGTTACAATTTGTTTTTCTATGAATGCAGCAGCATGTCGGTGGGTATTCTGTTAACATCTACTTTATTTATGTATCTGCCCATAACTATGTAACCATTACATAATCGCTGTCAACATTGAACCATTTGTTGCTCAGATTTAAACACTGTTTGAGTGTAAAAGTGGAGTATAAAAATATGTGAATTTTGCTTTTACTTGAACGAAACTACCAGTCTTTTAAGTGGGCTCATCTGCATTTACTTTAGCCAAAAACCTCAATCAGTGTTGTATGCACTATGAGTCTTGATTTGGGGTGAAGGGGGTGGGGGTGGGGGACCAAAATAAACTTATATTTTAATTTTGTCTTAGTCCACCGTTAATTATTGTAAGATGTCATGTGTGGGGTTAACTTCTTTCTTCTTTTTTTTACACACTGGCAATTACAAGAGCTTTAATTTAAAAGAAATAGTCATGCCTAGTCAGTTTTTCTCTTTTTTAATTTTAGCATCAAATTGAACTGTCAAAGCTTTTGTTGTAAAACTGTTTTAATTTCATTATATGATGGTACCAGAAAGATTAAATGATATGGGCTGGGGGGGAGGGGGAATGCAGGGAAACATGAAAATGTATGTCTTTAAAAACAAACATTTAAACTATTTATAATTTTGACAAGCTTATTTTTATTTTTGTAGGGAAGTTTTTATTCCCCTTAAAGTTATTACTGAAATAGCAAAAAAGTGATGGTTCCATTATTAAAGTTGAAGTTGGCAATACTTAGTTATGTGATGTGTGGTTTGTTGTGGGGTATTTTTTTTTGTTACCTGAAGCT